ACCAGATCAAAAATACCAGATCAACGGCTTAATCTTTGTAAAAATGAACTCAATTTTTATTTTATTTCGCATTGTTTAAATAATTTAGATATTACTTCGTAAAATTCTTCTGAAATAAAAGTAAGACATTGTATCTGTTTGCCCGATAGCTGTCCATTTTTACCCAGTCTATAGAGTTAGAAAGGACAGATGACAAATTTTAGACAAAAAGCTAAAAAATTATATTTCTATAATTAGAAATAAACTATGTAAGCATTTTATCCAATATATTTCTACAGTTGTCTGTTTGATACACGTGTTGAAATTGTAGACTTTAGTGACTTTATCTTAAAATTTTGATTTCAATTCAAAAATGTTCCGCTTTAACTGGTTACAAGGGGTTAATTAATCAACTCCGAGCGTTCGTCTATATAGCAAAGAACAATCAGTTCAATTTTCTGGGTTATTGTAAAAAGGAACAAATGCAAGGCGTTTTGCGCGATATCAGAAAAATCATCAAACAAAAAACGAGGAACCGTACACGAGTAGTTTTGAAAGGCTATCTCGAGTGGGTATTCCTCATTGATTTGTGATTTCGGCACTGTGCCTCTTCGTGCCAGTAACACACTCTCTCGAATACATGCAAAAGCGTCGGTACACATCTACATGGATCGTTTATAAGCACATTTATAGGTACATCTATATGGCACCCACACACGTCCGCGACATTAATGGGGAGAGCCGTCGGGTCCCCGCCGAGGCAAAGAGACGGTCGATATCAGGCGGCCTAGTTTTCACAGCCAGAGAACTTCGGCGCGCGTTCGCCAGGCGCCCCGCGGACGCATGCGCCATTGTGTTACGATAGATCGAGAGTAACCGAATTTAGGAGACTCTTTACCGGATAACACTTAAACGGTACAGTCAAGTGCCTTTCCATTCGATACGATTCGAACTCTGCGAAAGATAGATAGATAGATAGATATATAGATTGAAACTTGCATAGGCCGTTCTACATTGAGACATGATAAATAGAACGTTTATTTTATATAATCTGCATTTATTTTATTCAATATTTTATTTTAATTAATAATCGAAATAATTATATTTAATACTAATAAAATTTATGAACTTTTTTTTATTTAGTGTAACACGGGGCATCAAGGCCCAATTTGACTTTAAACCAATTTTCACAACAAATAACACATACCAAACAAACAACTATCTGACTATGCTCAGTAAAACTCCCAGATAATTCATCATTGTAGAAATAGTATTTTTGCTATTTTTTTTTTTCAAAAAATTGTAATCTCAAATAACACATATCAAACAAACATTATCTGACTATGTTCAATAGAACTCCCACCTAATTCATT